AATTCATCTGTCAAATATCAAACGTCCAAGGAACATAGATAAAAATAACCAGCAAAATCTATTATTTGCAGGTTGCTCACGTTCGTCCGAGCAGCAGACATCTTCAACATAACAAAAAATTTGGGCATACTACCTATAAGGTTGGGAGCGGCGAAACTTCAACGTTCCGAGCATACCTTTGTACACTATTATAATTTAGAACCCCTTTACGAACAATATAACAATTTAAATTTACAATATGATAGGTTAAGTTTAATTAGTCATAATAAATCCATGTATAATAGGGAATTAGAAAATTACGATAAAATAATAAAGTTTACACAAAATAAAATTAAACAAAAAATTAAACAAATAGATTTAAGTTTTGATAAAAGTAGTTATAGAAATAGAAGAGGGCTTATCAACGGTTTTGGTACGGTAATTAAGGGAATAACCGGTAACTTAGATAATAACGATGGCGAAAAATTTTCAAAAATATTAGCAGACATACAGCAAGATAGCTCAAATATCAAATCGCAAGTAAAACTACAGTATTCAATTAATCATAAAATAATAAAAAATTTTAATGACACTCTTCAAGATGTCCAACACAATGAAAATACTTTAAAAGATAAAATTATACAATTAAATACATTTGTAAATGAACAAATACAAAATCAAATTTTTATCTTGTTTGCACAAGATTTGCATAACCAAATTTTGCTTGTATATACCACTATACTAAATATTTTAAAAGACGTGGAAACTTCATTAACATTTTGCAAATTAAAAGTATTACACCCTAGTATTTTAACAGGTAGAGATCTTTTTGCTGAAATACAAAAAATTGAAAATAATTATAAAAAGCAACTTCCGATAGAAGTAAAATTTGAAAATATTTTGGAGTTCGAGGATATTGTAGAAGTTAATTGTAGAACAGAACCTGGTAGAATTACATTTTTCCTTTCCCTTCCCATTGATTATGAAACTGATTTTGAACTTTTTCATATTATTCCTATTCCAACCTTGTTCGAAAATAAATTTGTCACTATTATCCCAAAAGCTAAATACGTACTTAAATCAAAAGAAAACAACAATCTTATTCCATTGAATGACGTATGTAAGAAAGGTATAAAATATCAATGCGCGAAGCACCTGTCTACAAACCAAAACATCACTTGTGAAGAAAATATTGTCCTTCGGGAAAGCATCAACTCCTGCTCCTATATCAAACTGGAAATAACAGAAAATCATTTGGAAACAATCCCAGAAATAAACCAATACCTGGCAGTTTTTCCTTTCAATGAAAAAATAAGTTTAAGATGTCAAAAAGAAAACCAAGTCAAATCATTAACCGGAGTCTACCTTATAGAACAAGGAAATTGTAAAATCATCTTCAGAGGTAAAGAACTATTATTTGAAGAAACCTCTTTTGGCAGCCCCACTTTACTTAATAACATCAACCTCGCAATAGAAGAAAAACAGATCCAAAATCTCCAAGTTAAATTGAAAACGCTAAAACTAAAAGAAATCCCAGAAAATGTTTTCACAACAACTGATCAACACCAGCATTCAACACTCAATATTGTCACACCCAGCATCATGACAATAATCCTGTATGTTACGATAGCAATCTACCTCATATATCTTGCCATAAAAATTATAAAGAGAAGAAAGAAAAATAGAACCAAAGCAGAAAATGAAAGAAAAGAAGAAGAAGAAGAAGGAAAACTCAACCCAGTTCCACCCACGAGAATCAATCTTCCGGGGGGTGCTTCATTTTGAGGAGGGAGGAGTTACGTGACGGAGTCACTCCTTATAAGGACATCATGCACAATCTCATTTATTTCGCTAACTCAGTTGTCAGCATTTTTACCTTACTAAATTATTCATTATAATTTCTCAGTCTGTAATTAGCTATCATTCAATAAACTTATTTTAATTAAATTATATTTCATTCCAAAACAAAAGTTATTGTTAAATAAAAATAAATTGTTTTTAAAAACTCTTTCGGGCACTATCGTAACGTAATTTACATACTGCAGTATTTGTTTTTCTCAATAACAAGTAAGCTTAAACTCAGCGTTTAATTGTAAAAATCTGCAGCTCCTTAAATAAATAAGATAATGGTATGAGTTAAAAAACAAAATGTTTGGAAAACGTTTAAGAGTACACCAAACAGTTTTTAAACAAAACCATCCGCCTCAATTTTTCAACAAGGTGTTTTAAAGTTATGACAAAAAACAACATTTTGAATTACTTCTGTATAATATCGCCTAAACAAACAATATTTATTATTAAAATAATAAATAACAATCACAATAAATATCTATTTAAAAACGAACAATGCTCCAAAAGTCTGGACCTAAAAAAGCTATTAAAAATTTGTCAAAACCGTTTCTAGTTTATGTAGGTGGAATCAATATGAAAATAATTTTTTAAATTCGCAAAATAATTTTTGGGACAGTATATTCACTTCACTAAATTTACCTAATGGTTAAAGGGAGGTAACATACCATATAAAAAGAATATACTAGCCTTAATATACATTAAAATGCATGGTTTAATTTTTTTTTTACTTTTAGTTCTGGTTTTAATATTTTTTTATTTGTCTTTTCTTTCGTTTTCTTATTAAATAACGTCATAACAGTAGAACATTATTCACATAATGAACGTAATTACTCCGTTTTACAATCATAATTAAAAAAATATATACAAAAAATTGAAAATAAATTATCTTAAAATAAGGTTAGGCGTTAAAAACTAATGTGTAGTGACGGATGAGTTAATAGTATATTATGTATCAAGTTTTAAATTAAAACGAGTTGCATACTATACTTTATCTACGACGACCACAAAGAAGAATTTAAATCCAATTTTATTTGTTAAACATTTGACATTTGTCAAATGTCAACGGAATCAACCTCACTTTTCTCTAAATTATAATAAAGCTAACTTCAGCCCGTGACTAAAATGCCCAAAAGGCACTATTGCTAACTTTAGACCGTGGCTAAAACGCCATAAAGTCACAGCTCGTCAATGTAGGAGTAGATAAAATTATTTTAACTTTCTCCGTCAGACCTACGAAGTTGAAACATGACAGACAGATGAAATGTCATAATTTTCGAATTATTATTGAACCAATGATGATCGGACTAACAGACAAACGGATACATGCAAATTAATCTTTAATCTTTGCAACGGCATTATGCTTTTTATTGTTTATAAGCAACTGTCAAATTGAGCAGCTGTCAAATATTTAAATAAAAAAACGCAAATGAAAAATCACGTCAATAATTAAAGAAATCATATTTTTGTTGCCTTACAAACAGCAAAAATCTAAAAAAATCTGTGTTAACAACACTAACAGACTATAAGGTACAGCCCTGATAGCAAAATTTAATTTTAAGAATCTTCTAAGAAGATATGACCCGGAATAATGGAATATTCTTAGAAGCTTCCCTTATTGCTAAGAATGTTCTTAGGGACTTTTAAAACATTCAATAGATACCCTTTTAATAATGCAATTAAATTCTTATAAGGTTGTTAAAACCTTCTTAAAAAGCATCTCAAGAACATTTTAAGAATACGTTTTTGTAATGTTCTTAGAAGGTTTCTTATGGAGCTTCTAGTAAGCTTTTGAGAATATTCCCAAATATGTCAGATACCCACATTCTAATATGTTGTATTCTACATTCGTAAAATTCTTCAAGAGACGACAAATACGCCTCACTGTCATAATATGACAGTGAAATGTATTTGTCGTCGGCTTACAAAAATTTGCGACATATTAATATATTTATTTAAAAATATTAAATAAACAATTTTACCTCTAAACCATAAGTTGTATGACATTATTTCATAAAAAGTAAAATTGGAAAATTTTGTGGAATAAGTTAGATTGAAGTTGAATATAGTTAGGATTATTATACATAAAAATGTTAATTCAGAAACAACAAATCGGTATACAAGTTAATAAATATTTATTTTTAACATAAAATAAAATACCTATAGTAAAAGTATTTTTGTTATCGATAATGGGACATTCCACGTTACTCGGTAATTTTTGTCCCGCCCGTCACAATTAAAAATTGTGAGTAAAAGCTACACGTTATTAAATATATTTTAAAATATTGTTTATTATGTTTGTACCAAGCTTATAAGCACAATATAAATAATATTATAAAATATTAATTTAATAACTTGTGGTTTTTACTCACAATTTTTAATTGTGACGGGCGGGACAAAAATCCCCGAGTAACGTGGAATGACCCTAATATCGAATATTGTTTTAATTTAATAAATAACTATAAAAAAATATTTTGGATTGTGTTTTTTACTTAGTATTTAATACTAGGTAATTACTAATTAGATACTTAAGTATGGGTATAAGTATACCTTTATACGTAGTTTATGGTATATTTTACTATTATATAGGTAACTAAACTAAATATGCTTAACAGGAATATTCCTAAATGAACTTTCTATAGCAATTACTTTCTTAACATTCTAAACATATGTTTAGAGTAGACTAATTTTTACCACTAAAACTTTGCACCTTTGCACCTTCTAAGAACCTGCCTATAGGCCAGTAACAATATTCTTAGGATCATGCTATATTTCTTTTAAGCATGTTCTTTAGAAGAAATATAGCATGATCCTAAGAATATTCTCACTGAAAGGTTTAAAAAACATTCTTAGAATAAAGTGTGCTATCAGGGAGCAAGTACAGGTTTATAGGGTAATTATAATACCTCCTGCGATGAAGTTTAAAAAAAAATTACACGAGTTTTTTATTACCCTGTATGTACCTATGTACAAAAACGTTGACATTTTATAAAATTAGGAAGACTTGAGTCACACTAATGTAAACTGTTTTAATAGTGGGTGTTTTTTTTTAATTTACATTGCTTTTAAAAAAACCCTATTTAAAAATATTCCACTTTAATTTGTAAGCGGCTTATATTGTTTTAAAAATCCTATCATCTTTTATTAATATTATTAATAACTATTTTTTTTAGGTGGCAATCAATAATATGAAAATATAAATATTTATATTTGCAATATAATAATTTCCTAAAACACAAGGTAAGATATGATTAGAGTGTTTCTTTTAAATATATTTTTACCATATAATCGTAAATATATGGCTCCCTACCGATACGCGACACTCGCGTTTTGGCTAACTCAAAAAGGCCTTAACACAATTTAACATTAGCTTATGCAACCACGATAATACGATGCAACCTCGAAACATTTTAATTTACAATTAAAATAATATTTTTCCACTCTCTATGCTTTGCAGGATGAACTTAGGTGCAGCATTTATTTGTTTAATGTTTTGATTTGTTACGTAACCAAAATTACCAGCTTATTTGGCTTTAGCTGTAAAGAAAAGTATTTTGTAATAACAAATTAACATAGCTAATTGGCTAAAGGGTTGTACATTTGTGTAGTATTAAAAATGTATATTCAAAAACTGTACGAGTTTAATGTAAAGACTGTAGGTAACATTTCGAGACTTTTAAAGAAACAATTATGCGCATTGGTCGTATTGAATGTGCAAAAACTGTTCAGTTAATAATTAAAACTTGAAATAGTTTACTTTTTTCAGTGTAGGGACCTGTTTGTTTTCTGAAGCCAGATGACATTTTTGGTAACATTGAGAAGTTTGCGTACCTATATAAGTATTTAAAGATTAGTTTATAGATTAGAATCGAATTGGTTCTGTTATTAGGTGATGTCCGTGTTCCTTGGCAATCGCCGATTGTGGTAACTATACAGGTAGTCAGGTAGCTTATCGGTGTGACCTAGCCTTAATCACTCACTCTCTCACAAACTTTTACGACGCTGGGGGCCACCCGCACTTTTTAAACTTATTATTATTTATCCCTTTCTTGTTAATTTAATTTTTTTTTTGTTTTTCGTTTTACCGATTTTGATTTACTTGCCTCCGATAACTTGATTCGTTTTTGCTACTTGCGTTTGTATCGTTTACACTGCTTAGGAGGGCTCTCGCCAACGACCGCAGCCGAACCTATCACTTCAAGTGTTAGTACGAGACACTATTGAAATAGTGTCTAGTGTATATTCCAACCACAAATTTTGAATATAATTCAATTACTTTATGTACTACTTCATCGAAAATTTCTAAAATAATTAAAAACTTGAAAGCAAATCCTGCTCCTGGATATGATGGTTTGAAAGTAAAAATATTAAAGAAATTAGAGTTTGTTCTATCACCAATTATTTCATCTATTATAAACAGGCACATTAAAACTGGAACGTTTATTTAAATAATAACTTTCATAAGTATTCAACAAGAGGTGGTGCTTTTCTTAGTGTTCCGAGACACTTTACATCACTTTATGAAGAGTCACCTTACTATTCTGGTATTACCATCTATCTCAGAGAGCATTAGAGGAATAAACACGAATAGTCAATTTAATAGTGAACTTAAAAGTTTTTTAATTAGTAAATGTCCCTATGATTTTATGATTTATGAGATTTTTTATAATATATTTTATTATTTATTAATTCTTGTTTGTGTGACAGACTATATATATATATATATATATATATATACAGTGGCGTAGCGACAAATTTCGGCCCCCCCCGCGAAAATCCTTACTGGGTATTTTTTACATGGTTTTATATTGTAAATAAAATTTAATACATCCGGTGACATGATTAAATTATTTATACACGAAAAGTAACAAAAAAATAATTAAAAAAAATAAGGTTCTCCACTGTACCTACTTATAAATTATAAGTAAAATAATAAAAAATAATAACATATTTTTTAAACATAAAAAAAAATTATAATAATTTTATCAGGCATCCTTGAATAATATTATGTACCTACTCTATTTTTTTCTGTGATTTATTGTGTTAGAAATACAGTGCCTAATTAGAATGTGTATTTGTGAATATTTTTTGAAACAAAGTAATCAAATAAGGCGATATACTCTACATATTATTTTAAATTATGGTCAAAAAACATTTTATTATAAACTATACAAAGCAACATAGATATACCCATGGATGTTCACTATAGTTTAATATATACCCACTATAATTATATCAAAACGTAACTTATTTTAAAATTTAACTAAAATCGTATCAACTAATAGGTATATTTAGTTAATAATATTTACTCAGTAACTCTATATATTAAACTCTCTATAATATTAAACTAACCAATAATAAAAGAAATACTTACATCATGTAAGTTACATGTAAATACTAGACCACTTTGTGCTCACCACAGCTGACCGGCGAGAAACGCATGTAAAACAGTGGAAAAATAAAATAATCAGAAGCAGTCACAAATAAGAACCTACTTGAACCAATACGAATATAAAACAAAACAAAGTAACAACTTGTGAATCACAATCGTCAAAATTTTAGGGGTTCGCAAAGAGAACGCTTCAGAACTGTCAGAATAATACGCATAACTAAATGCGCATATCTGTTTAGAGTTAGGCGCATGTTTCCAAGTTCTGAATCGTTCCTGCGTAAACCCGCTGTCAATTGTTAAATAAGGGCGATTTTTAAAATTCATCAAAAGGTTCTGTTGGATGTTTTACATTTATGTTGTGATGGTAGGCCAATAATATCAAGTACCTACCTACATTTTAGTAAATTATGATTTTATTAAATAATCATCCATTATTATTCAATTTTTAGTATAAGTAAGATGAAAATAAGTATTATAATGTTTTGGGGCAAGTATCGGCCGGGCCCCCTACGAGGTTAGGGCCCCCCGCTTGGCGGGCGTTCGCGGTACTGTCGCTACGCCACTGTATATATAAACTAAATGTAATTTACTTTTAGATTTTAATATTGTATTTGTGTTTGTTTTTTCTTTTTTTTTTAATATTTATTAATGTATTAGCTTGTCCTATAAATATGTATTTATGTCCAGGCCCGTTCCTGGGGTGTCTGGCGCCTAAGTGCAGCATTCTTTAGTGCTCCCCTTTTATATTTAAATATAATACATTTAATATTTTTATTTAAAGCCCTAAAATTAAAAAATATATAGTTTGCGACAAACTCACAAAATCTCAAACAATATTTAGTAATAAAAACAAAAAAAACATATAAACAATATAATTACTACAACTTGTTTTTAGGGAACTACCTATGTACCTACTCTCTAAAAATGAATTAGTCAAAAATGACTAGTTTTCAAAGTGAAAAAGCAGTCACTGTAGTCAGGGCTGTTTCTGGCGAGCGTGCAGTGCGCGAACGCAAGCAGGCGCAACATTTTGGGGGCAAAAAATCAAAGACTTAAACACACAAAGGATAAAGGTTACCTTTATTTGCGTCGGCCGCATTAAAGCTCTATAGGGCTTTAATGCAATGGACGCATATGTGCCGCATATATACGCTCTTTTTTTCGGCCGCTATAAAGCGCCTTTTGCCGCTTTGATATTGGCGGCTTAATTTTTTTATATGAGTATCAAAATAAAACAAAAGAAAGCGCAAAGTAGAACTTTTCCGAGGAGCAAGCGTTTTCTTACTTTGTCGCTCGGCGAGCGACAAAGTAACCAAAACGCTCGTTTAGTTACCATGGAAACCATAATAACGAAACTTCTAGTAAGTATACAAAAGTCAAATTTGAGGTTATCAATAATTATTAACAAACATTTGTATAAAAACACCGGTTCTAGAAAAAATCCTGTGTGTAATTCGAGCGCAAAGTGACATTGCCGATCTCGCTTGCCGGAGCGCGTCAAACTTCTCCCTCAGAGCGACAATATACCACTTTGCGCTCTTAATACACACATAGCTATAGTTGCAGTTGTAGTTGACGGTAGCAAAGTTTAACAGTTGTCTACACAGTGCATGACTTGGTAACGAGCTTACTCTCTAAAAATCAATAATATTCATCGTCAATAGCAATTTGTGTCCCGGACATTTAACAGTCAACTTCTATGTAAAATTGTCGTCAAAAGTTATAAAAGTAAAACAGTTTTTGAGATATAGTCAATTTTTTATATAATATGGAATTAAATATATTTCAAAAACTGCTCTACTTTCATTATTTTTGACGGTATTTTTGGATTCAGGGGACAATTCTACATAATAATAAGCTGTTAAATGTCCTGGATACAAATTGCTGTGGACTACAGTTATTAGTGACTGCTTTTTCACTTTGAAAACTAGTCATTTTTGACTAATTCATTTTTAGAGAGTACGTCACTAAAAACCAGTTGTTGTTATTATATTGTTTATACAGTGCTTGCAATATCAAGTCCGACCGCACTGGAAAGGACGGCTGTTCAATACCCGCGTGAAAAGAACAAGGATAGAACGCCAAATAGAATTTGATTGGCCAGCCGGCAGGCTACGACAACGCATACCCATCGCGCACCTCGCAGCGTGCTTGACACGAGGACTGCTATTGTGCCAGCAAGAGGTAGTAATTTTAGTAAAAAAGATTATTTAATTAAAAAATGTACATGTTGGAACAAAAAGTTCAGATTTTAATTTGGCATTTTGCTGGTAATTCTGAACGAGAAATTCAAAGATTTTTGTGGGGGGTACCTCAAGTCGAAGCTGTACGTTTTTCAGGAAGATCGGGCTAATATCCTCAATGATTTAGGAATCCGCATAACTAATTTGTTGGGGGATATTAGTCCAGAAGTCCTAGCTAATGTGCGTGGGAATTTTTATAATAAGTTAGGCTATTGTTTGGCTGCCTATGGGGGCTTGTTCGAACATTTAATTTAATTATTGAGTTTATTTATTTTTATTATTTATTTTTAGAGTTTTATTTTTATTTAGAGTTTTATTTTTATTTATAGTTATTTTTATTCAGAATTATTTTTTATTTGAGAAATCTTTTTTATTAAGAATACTATTTTTGTTGTTGCCCTAGTTCTCAAGGAAAAAATCAAAACATTTTATTTTTAGGATTCGGGTATAAAATATTTAAAAAGAAAATTAAAATGTGCATCTACACTCTAAGTTAGAGTCTCTAACGCAGTTTGCTTAACACTAAATCATTTAGTCTAAATCTAGCCAGACTGGCTGCCAGAGTTGACCTCGCTTACAATTCGCACGCATCCGGCAACCGGCTC